AAACATTAAAAACTAAATTAATGAATCCCACGGGAACCGTAACTATTCCCGGGATAAAAAGTAGCCTATGTGTTTTTCCAGACTATGCTCTAAACCTGTGCCAAATATCATAGAGATCCGTTCAGCCGTTTAGGCTAAAACGCTAACAAACATCCATCCATCCATCCATCCATCCATCTATCCATCCATCCATCTAAACTTTCGCATTTATAATATTATATAGTAAGAAGTAAGATTACTACCTGTACTCCAACTATTCTGTAATGTTTCTTAAGTTGGATTTTCACTGTTAAATCGCTTACACAAAAACTGTTTTAATTTGATTTAACAAAGAAACAATGACATATTGTTTCGACAGTAGTAACCCACGGTAATTATTTACAGTTATTATTACCTTCAAAAAGCTACATGCTTTAACTTACTGGTTTAAAATACGTTCTCACAATAAAATCACGTTGGCTGGTAGCAGAAAATTACAAGAAAAACATTACAAGGTGTATGCTGGCGCGGTATTTAATTGCAAAGTTGATTGAGTGGTGATCGCGACGGGAATTATAGTGAAGGATTGTGGACAGGAATGTTGGCAGGGCTGCAGCTAGACAGCGTGGTGCCTATGTCACCGATGACAGTGTTTACATTACACCACGCAGACAGATTTAACATACTCTACTTTCAGTTTTAAAATGTGGCAAAAAACTAAAGACGGATTCCGTACGGACTGCAAATTCATTGAGATAACGTCGTACTTTTGGAAAGCAGTATGGTTTTTAAATTCGTTTTAGACATAATTGTACATGTTTATACTCGGTAGTAAAACATGTTCCAATCTCATGGTTGTGCATCTTTCCCGTTAGTTTATTTCAAGACAAGTTAACAAAAACCACTTTTCTATGCGAACTATTTCTCTCTCTGATTTACAGTTTACAATTATATTGTCATCATTTAATCATTGATCTGTTATAATATAGTTTTCATTCATAAAATGTGCTGGTCCATATGTAGGTGTTTGCGTCTGCGCATACAGGAGCGGTGAACTATGCAGAGTGCAGGCTCCGGGCGGCGGGCGGCGGGCGACGGGAGCGCGGGACGCGAGGCGGTCAGAGCTACCGCCGCAACCAGTTTATGTTTTAAATTCGCGATAAAAAATATCTGCAGCGGCGTGTCATTAGCCGAACGGTGTCCCCCGCCCCGCCTGCATTTATTAATCTTATTCGGAGAAATCGGCGCATCTCCCCTCCCTTCGTTCCCCCCGATACCCACATGTCCTGTCGTACTAGGGATGACCCATACCCATCGATAAGTATTTGAAATATCTATCATACAAGATGTAAAAGTTCTAGTTTAAATAAGCGCTTGATATTTTTTTTTAATACCGAATAGGATAAAATACAAGTTGCTTTTTAGCTTTGATAGGTCAAAGGCCCGGACTATTGATATATTAAAATTCTCAGACGGAAAAACCTGTTCGAAGCAGACGACCTTACATATGTAAGCAGTTACATTATAACTAATATTATATTATAAATTTCCACTGATTTAAATATGTCAACAAGAAACAAACTGTTTGTTTAACAAACAACAATTCGTTTCGTATTGCAATGTTGAAGCAATTACGTGGCATTGCCAAAAACAGTTGGCACGATGCAATCTCCGTAGATTACACTAGTAGAGCTCTAGACAACATGCTCCTCCTAACCGTAACATACATCTTGGCAAAGCTTAGTTACCGACCTTGCATATTATGTTCAACATTTAAGTAGATGCCCTAGAGCGTGGATAAGACAGAGCTCATTACGACCATTCAAATATGTTTTAACAGCTAAATTAAATAGCCTATAACTAATTTAAAATGCAGAATTATATCCTAGACTTATACACATAAAATCATTTATAGTAATAGTATTAACTATAACATTGTAAAAGTGGTATCAATAAAAAAGCTTATTTTAAAATAGAGAAAAGATAGAAGATTTATGAAAAGACGCTGACATTTTTATGCATGAACTAAAGTTGACTTTATCTCCGTAAATAGAACACAATTTACCATTCATAGTTATTCCCAAACGTAATAAAGTGAATTAAGAGTTACATACAGACGTCACGTTTCCAGACATTTGTCGTAAATAACCAATGTCGATGTCGACCATTCTGTCATATCAAAAATACGACCAAATAGAATAAAGTCGGTAAGTTACTTTAATGCCAAGATATAATTTTTAAGGTCCTAACAGATTTTATTACCTTAAATTTTCGAATAAAATTATGTTGAATTTTTAATGATTGTCATATCAGCATTACTTATAATAATGTAACCCACATTTTCACATTTCATTATATCAAGTTTTATCATATTTGTTTTAATAGTAGCACAATTATTTTACAGATGTTAAGCATTGATTAGAGACGCGTCAGTCAGATGTAAGATGACGTGGTGTAATTAGGCTAATATGTAGGGCTTAGGCAAATTGCCGTAATCAACTATGCATAACACAATTAGCTCTTACAGCAATATATTATGTAAAGCTTAAATACATCAACAGATATTAAGTTTATCTAGGATATTCATGGCTAAAAACTCATTAAAAAAACATAGTTTCTTTCGCTCCCCCTTAAAAAATGGAAGGTAGGGGTTTTTCTGGAATGTATTTGCATCACTATTTAGAGACCATTTACTTAACCAGCTTGTCACGAGCAATTTAAATCATTATCGACATTAAAATCGATAAGACGTAGGACAACACTATCTGCGTCCGTTCACTCACCGTGAGACATTACCTTGAATGTTACATACATACATACGATATGCAGGTATTATAAATTTTTAATAAAAACCAGACCCGAACACGCTGAATTTTAGTTAACTCAAAAGGGACTTTTTATTTACTGTAATATTTTGACCACAAGTTTATTTTAACGTTGTTGAATGTCGCGTTTTATTTTTTAACATTGTTTTGTCATTGCTTTTATGTTGATTGCTTTTTAATTTGTATTGATTAATGAAATAATTCTACTTAATTTATTAATTTTAAAAATAGCAGACCATCAGCTCTATCTATATCTATACCACCGAAACACGTAAATTGTTGTTGTCTCTGCTTATTCAAGAAAACGATAGGGATGTGAAAATGTCTCTGTTTATATCTTTTGGCAGAGGAAAGTCACACAGTTAGGTATACCTACTTAGATATACCAATATAATAAGCTAAGTAATTTTAAATGACAAATATAAACTGAATTAGATTTTTTTATTGGTATATTTTTTAAAACCGTGTGAATTAAAATTTTGAAAATACTCGCAGCGAATCTTATTTTTAATGGATGATGTAATTGAATTGGTTCCGCCAATCGACGTGTTCTGTTATAACACAATACCGTTATGTTTGAAAAAAATAACCGTATTTTAGAATTAATGGCAATTGGGTATTATTTATTATTTAAAGTTCTTTGTACAATTTTCGTCTTAGTACATCCAATAATATCTTCTGCGCCTCAGGGTATTAAGATTGACTACTTTTAGGACCGACAGTAAAAAAGAAATATATGGATTATCTTGCATCTTACCTAAAGACTTTGTAAGCATAACTTTATATCTGTCTTTAATTTGTTATAATAATTAAAAAAAAAAAGCGTAATTTCGACGTAACCTAGAAATCATTACATTACCCTTAAATGTTAACCTGATGCATCTAAAAGTGACTATGGTTGATTTAAAAGTGTGAGTAAACTTCAGTCTTTCATTGATTTAGTGATAATTGAAATAAATCTGACACCTTCTTACGGTGAAGGAAAACATCGTGATGAAACCTGCACATATCGGCGAAGAAATTCAAAATTGGCCAGCGTGGTTGACTATGGCCTAGTCACCCCATTTTAGGGTAGGCTCCGAGCCCCTCGGTGGGGACGTATAGTGAGCTGGTGATGATGATGGTGATGACACCTAGATGGAGCACCTCGGACAAAATTCATTATTATAATAAAGTACATTATAGAGCTAAATATCTTAATGGGGAGAAAAAACTACAGGGATCTCTGTAACTCGAACCTTGTCAAGTTAAAAACCACAATGAAAATGCCATTACCTTCCACTGATTCCTAGAAAACTTGGTATCTCTAATCAATTAGATTTTGTTAAGCAAGCAATATAATTGTAATTTTCCATTTAATCTTTTATCTTTATTTTAAAATGTCGTGGAGATTCTTAAATCTTAATTTATCTTATTAATGTTAAAGTGTAGGTGGCTTGTTGGATGTTTATTAGTTTGCCACCTGCACAACTGAAAGGATCTTGATAAATTTGGTATAAATGTAAAACATAGTTTAGAAAACCACATCGGCTACTTGCTTTTGATTTTTTTATTCAAAGAGGATGGAGTCGCAGGCAATAGGTAGTATGTCATAAATTAAACAAATTTTTATCAATTTAATTTTATTATTTACATAAAATTATCAATATATACAATGTTTTGACTTTTAGTATTAGTGGGTGTGTACACAATATAGCAATGTTTCTTAACTTCGAATACCATCAAAGCAGGCTCACCACCAAATCAGGTAATAATTGTAAGATGTTGTATAGATAAGCCATCAAATTCTAGCTTCAGTATGATTATAATGAAATTATAATTTACAAAATCTTGTTAAACCAAGTATAATGACTAATGTTGTTGAAGAATTAAATACTTAAAATTGTTATCATAACAAACAAAACACACCTTTATGGAAGAATACCTAACTTGATTACATCATGTAGCTTTTAATTCAATGTATTGTTAGAAGCAAAAGAGTTACATCAAATTTGTGATAATAAGTTTGGTTTTTACTATTATTGATGACACAGGATATCCTTACCATCAAAGCAATGTAGCTTTCAACAATTAGACATATTGTACAACTTTTATCTTAGTCTATTTTTAGATTATTTTGCTGGCACAGGTGCAGTAGGCGCTGTCGCCACTCTTTGTTGTGCGGCAGATAATTGAGGAGTATCAGTCGCTAAGGCTCTGAGTTGCTTCTCAGCCACAGCGTTCACCATCTTCGTTACCTTTGCCTTCATCTTATTCTTTTCTACGGCATTGTTTTTACTCCGGACTGGTGCATTGCTACGTTTTGTCACGGCTTTCCCTTTATTTTTCTTGGCTTTAACACCAGATGGTAATTTACTTTTAACTTTTAGTTTTCCTTGGGCCATTGTGTTATATAAATAAATTAGTAAAATAACAAACAAAATAATACCACCTCACAAAACGTGATTATGACATTTGACATTGACGTTTCAATATAATTTTTCTTGCCCTACGTAAAATAAATGTCAAATGTCAAAAATCGAACCAAAACGTTTACATTTTGGTTCGATTTTTGACATTTTGACACGATTTTCGACATATCGAATGACATTTTTGATTCTGAGTATAACTTAGATTTCGGTTAATTTAAGTTTTACTTTTATGTATAATTTTTAATGTTCTTTTTTACTCACTAAAAATGATCTTCTTCTTCGCAACACTAAAATATATCTTATGGAATATCGAAATTTTTCGTAAAAGTTATAAACATATCTTGGAATATGTTTGATTTTAATCTTAAAAAAAATGAACCACATGAATATTAATATGAATAATAAATTTCATAATTTTATAAAAGGTTTAGAACGAAAGTTTTCATGAGTAACTCTTAGGCACTGATCTAATCGTTATATCAAAGAATTATGGGTGATATCCGTTCAGCTTCCTACGTTAGCGGCGCGAAGCTGGTACCAACACGAGGTAGTAAATAATTCAATATTATGTTTGATAAAAGTCTTTCGCCATTGATCTTGCAGTTAATAGTTTATACATTGAGTTTTATTGTGAGAAAATTGCTTTTATTAATGACACTGATTAACAATGAATTTCTGCTAGAAAATTAACTCGGCTAAAAATTTTAAGCATTTTTAATTCATGCGCCTGTTTTAACACCAGAGCAAACTCTCGCAACTGTCTCGCTCAATCGTCTGTTTATGCTCTTAAAATCTTTCCTATAAAATATCATACAATAATTAAAAACAGAGAATTATTTTTCACTCCGTCAATTATATCCGCCAGTCATATTTATGCGGAATTAATAAAAATAAATGGACAATAACGAAGCAATTAATTGTATACAGGCAACTCCACTCGGCAATTAATGTTCCGTGAAATGGAATCATCCAACCCCTCGAAAAAATTGTTGAAATTTTAATGTAAGTATTTTATTACATTTCACTATTTTTATTTCTCAAAATAATTTTAAGTGCTGATAAAATTTGAGTATAAACTGGCTTCAATCGAAATTCAAAAATGTTTAAATACACTTCACCAATTCTACGTAAGAGTGAACACTTAAAATTGCTTATTCATAAATCCAGAACTAAATTTCACCACCATTTTTCGAGAGAATAGACAGAAAAAAGGTCCGTGGAGCTGAGCTTCTAGGTTTAATTTCCTCGGCGGCGTTGCTTTGAGATTAATTTACCAAAAGCGTTGCTGTGTGCATTCTTAAAGCATTTAATTGCTATTTATGTGCACAGATTGCGCACAAGAGATTACATGATTATGTTACAAAATATTAACTGTGAGCTATAACAACATGAGTTTAGGGCTTATCCCACCACTGGCTGATAGAGGCTCAGATAGCTTAAAAATGCCGTCACTGTCAGCTAAGGTAAGAAAATTCGATATTTCCATCACATATTTTTCGCGGATTGTTATCAGACAAAATACAATTAATTAATAATTAACCGAATTAAAAAAGGACACTAATCTGTAAAACTAAATTACGTTTATTACAAATTTATTACAATATAATGTGATTAAAAAAGTGTAACCCAAGCTGAAAAAGTAATCTAACATACAAGACCAAGTCTTACAATTCACTGGAATCACGAAGACGAAGAATTAAGTCTACTATTTCGCTAGGATTATACATAAATTAACTAGAAGTGTGTTGGTAATAAAAGTTGAGAACTCTTCAAAATAATTATGCAAGCGGTAGAATAATTAGAAAGGCTAGTTTAAACCTAGCTCGTTACCCGCCTAACGTTGTAATAAAGAGTGCACGTGCTCCTAACAACGTGGCTCAGCTTGGAGAACTTACAACGCGGTCATTTAATTATTAATTAAATTATGACCTCAACTACTTTAATATTTTAATTATTATAATAATATGTTAATATAAAATTATTTCACTGAACGGAAATAAAGGTAGTTGAATTTTATATTTTCTTAATAACATTGAAAAGTCAAAATACCAAACTAACTGTTGTTAAATTTTTTATATCTGTGTTCCGATTAATATTCAGATTTTAGCAAACATCGGATCTTAAATCGACCAATCGAGTCGCGATAATTCAAGTTGTCAGAATATGTTTCTTGTACGTCATTTCTTTTTTTTTTTAAATGTTTGTTAAATACTAAAGTTTAAAATAAGAATGTTTTAGAATTTAAATATAGTTCCCTCTATGCATCGTTAAGCTCTCCTAAGTGTTTCAATACGTCCCAAGACACGTCTGGAAATTTATGAGAGAACTTTCATACCCGCTCTTGATATTGATCTTAGCTGGAATTTTCATTTCACGCGCAAAACTTGTATTTGTTTATTACAAGTTCGTGTTAAAGTTATTTAACATATGTGTTTACTTGAAAATACAGTAAAAACAATTTTGTGCGACATTCGTTAACGATGTATTGATTTTCGGGACAAAAACTTTAAAATAAAACAGTGTTGGGTATAAAATTATTGCTTACTAGTTTTCACCCTCGACTCCGTCCGAGTGGATTAAAAAAAACAAAAGTAAGTAGCCTCTGTGTTCTTCTAGACTATCCTCTACATCTAAATTTCTACATACCAAATTTCATCGAGATCCGTTCAGCAGGCTACAAACTCTAACAAACATCCATCCATCCAGCCATCTAAACTTTCGCATTTATACTATTAGTATGATATCTCTCTGTCTCAATGTTGTAAAATGAAATATTACCTAATGCTCAATAATGTTGCTTTTTAATAACACATAGTTTTTTTAAATCGGTTCAGTAGTTTTCGAGTTTCTTGCACGTAAAAAAATACTAATTTTTCCTCTCAATAATAATAGTATAGACGTATAGATAACAACGGAAACAAATAAGGTTAAATAGAGTGGATATAGTTCGGTTTATATTACGACTTCAGTAAAAAATACGTACGTTTTCTTCGTTCATCCTTTTTATGTAAGTTCAAAAGGATAGAAACAAAAGGTATCTCGGCAAAAATTCGTATCCGCCGGAAAGCAATGGGCGTACTTATTGTCACTTTTGGAAGTTATTAAACTCTGAGAGCTAAATTGGGGTAAGAAGTCGGCGGAATTTCTTTTTTTATGTGTCGCTGAAATCGTAAAAAGAATTCGATCTATCCATTATGTTGTAAAGTATAATTTACTAGCTTTTGCTCGTGACTTCTTCCGCGCGGAATTAAAATAAACTGTAGTAATAAATGAAGCTTATTTTACTTAGTAATAATGTAGTTTTCTAATGGTACAAGACATTTTAAATCTTGTAGTTTTCGAGTTTATTGGTTACAAAAAAAACCTTAAATTAATATAGATTCCATAACGTTTATATGATTTTCGTTTCAAAAATAAATTATCATCAACGAAATATGATTTATAATCTTGATTTTTCACTTTTATTTACTCTATTAATTGTCAAATTATACAAATTGAGTTTTGTCAGCATTTCGAATTAACAATTTATCAATGTCATGTAAATAGAGAGCAAAGTAAACAACATTGATAATGCCCGCAGTGCGCTTTTTCGAAACATATCGCTGTATCAAATTTAAAACGTTCACTGAAAACCCGCTGTATTTCTGTTATTTTTTACTATATTAACCATTTTATCACAATGAAATCTTTGCCGCGTACTATAGAGATGAATACATAGGTTTAAAAACAAATGGTTAGCTTCTTTATATTTTAAATTATTAAGTTTAAATTGGTTTTAACTATTAGGTATTAAAACGGTAAGTCATCATCATCATCATCATCATCACCAGCTCACTATATGTCCCCACTGGTAAGTATTGTTTAGTTATTAATAACTAGCTGTTCCGGTGCGGCTTCATCCGCATGAAATGTCAAAATTCAAATGCATAAATGACAATTGCTTCCTTGATATTGGCAGCAACTTATGGTCTCTTTCCCACCTTAAGGTTTTTATCTAAAATATTTACCCCCTGAGTTTAACGTCGTGAAAATATACAGCCTAAAGCGTGACGTAAGTGTAGGGCTTTTTATTAAAGAAAGAATTATTCAAAAATATGCTGTAATTGCTGACGTCTTAGGCAACAAAGAAGTGTGTGTTTACGCTTAATTATAATAATATAGAGTATAGATTTAGTTATGTTATTAAAGAGACTATTTTCGAAATGACAAACACATGAAAAAAAATGTCTTTAATATTTCACGTAGTAAATGTATGTGCATATTTGTTATCGAAGTTACTCGTACATTTATCATTGGATACTTGAGTTTAATTAAGTAATGAGGACTGCTACGGGCTACGGACTGTAGAGCTCTCGTAGCGGGAACAATATTTGTTGTTAATACACTACGAATGGAATGAAAACAAACACAACTGAAGTATCGCTCTTAAACAACAGGAAATAATCAATTGAAAAATAACAATAATTTTTATTTTACATTACTGAAACATTGAACGGATTGAGATAAAAGTTTTACTAAGGTATTTTAAACAATATAATTTTTCTGTCTTAAAAAAATGAAAAAGTAGCCATTATCTCTTACTTACTGCGTTTGCGCAGCGATCCAAAGTGGGTCTTGGCTTCTGACACGAGAGGGCGTCAGTATGTCTGTCCTGCGTCGTCGCCTGCTATCATCATCCATACTTTACCCTAATCCCGTATAGTCGGCGCACCGGGTTTTCGTCCTACAAATAACTCTATCATTCGTCATCTCAATCACCACTCCCTTCTACGTCATATCACCTTTCACGCAACCCATCCATCTCTGTCTTGGTCTACTGGTTTACCTCCACACTCATAAATAATAATGTAAAAATTGTATATCTAGTTATTGAACTGAAATTGAACTACCAGTCTTCAATTAGCGGTCTGTACAAACTAAAGTCTATACAACAAAAAGTGTTAGCTTAACTTGTTAATAACTTTAAATTTCAATGTAATACAACGTTAATACTTTGCTAGCTAGACAAACTTTTACATGTAAAATATGTATACAGTGAACACACAAT